GCCAGGTTTCGTCTTTCGCCGGGTTTAGTTTCGTCTTTCGCCATTTGTCAAAAATAGTTTCGCCTGCCAACACTAGCCCTGGCACAGTTTTTTGGTCCTCCAGTATATCTTAACCCGATAACCTTGCAATTGAATACCCGGGAGCGCAACCACTACACTATCGACCTATGGGTCACAGTGGTATTTTCAAATAAAATTGATGTAAGAACCTCACATTGAAATAAATGTAGTAAGTTACAAAAATCCAATCTATAATGTAGATACGGTGTTCGTGGAAAAGATCAGGAAAATTTTTTGAATTGGATTAACAAATGCAATAAATACAAGATTTGTTTAAACTCAAAATAATTGAAAACCAGATTTGCCATTCACAAAATATTATCACTGCATGATGAATGATTTCTTGCTTCGATACACTGATATTCCAAGAAAGGCTGATTCATTTCAATAATTTTGAACTTAAACGAATACTAACATTCATAGCATTCGTTTAAAATGAAATTATTGATAACAGACTGATAATTCATGAAATAACGACGTTTAACTAACAAAATAATTGCCAGTTCCGGCATTAAGTTTAATATTTGCTACTGTTTAATGTTCATATGTTGAGAACAGCTTATCCATTTTTTATTATCTTGAGTTTAAACAAACCCTATAGTTTGTACATTCATTTAGTATAAAATTAAATCAACTATTTTCAAATTGTAAAAGTTAAAATGTGTAAAATTATTTCTGGACATTTGAGTGACCGCAGTATTATGTGTTATTTTTTAATTTACAGCGTGTCAATTATTAATTACCGCATGTTATTCAATTTGAAATGAAAATACCGTTTTACAATTGTTATAGATTTACAAAAAAATTATTTAAAGTGCATTTAAACTTATGTCGAAATCTTGTTCATTGACCAAACATATTCAAATTAAAAAAGGTATTTGTGTATTTTACAGATTTATTTTCTTTGAATAAATATATCCATTATTCTTAATAAAGATAAATGAAGCAGTGGATGCTAATGAATTATCAAAGCGTTAACAGCATAGCTCAAGCACAAGCATGACATATAAGATTATATATATATAACTTAGATTCATATCGACTTTTTTTAAAAAATAGATCTTAATTTTAATTTATTTTTTCTGAATATCCAAAATTTGTAAAAATAACGGTTTCATTCAAATTAATGGAGATAAAAACTGCTTAATTATTATTTTTTTGTTTTTCATTATTGACCCATTTCCTAAGTTTATACAATGTAGTTGTTCTTGAATTATTTGTTATACCTTTATAAAAATTATACATACAGGAAAAGCTTAGACTAATCTCTTCAGTTAAAGCATGAAGCATTGGAGTAAAGTATCCTCTTGTTTCCCTTTTGCTTCTTTGATCAACAAGAGCAATAAAGTCACTTCGAAGCGTTTCTGTATCAGAATATCCTGAATTTTGTATTGTGCTTATACGATTTGTGGTTAAAGACAGATTTGAACCTGCTAGTAAGAAATAATGTTGAAAATTAGCTTGACATAATCTGATGTATGAGTTAAAAAATATATATATATGATGATATGATATACTGTACCTTGAGAAGAATGCTTCTGTCCAGATTCTCGTATTTTACTAATGTCATTTTTAAGAGCTGATATATCTTTTTCGAATTTTTTAGTTCCAGTTTGAAAAGTTTCACGTATTTGATTAATATTAACGTTAAGGATTGATATGTATTTTTCAATTGTTTTAATTTTAATTTGGAAAGTTTCACGTATTTGTTTAATTTCGTTTTTTATTTCTTTTTCGATTTTTTTAGTTTCATTTTGAGAAGTTTCACACATTTTACTAACGTCATCCTTGAAAATCGATATATCTTTTTCGGCTTTTTTAGCATCAGTTTTGAAAGTTTCACCAAGAGTTAATATATCAGTTTTGATTTTTTTAATCTCAGTTTCAAGTGTTCTATATATATCATCACTAAGAGCTGATATAGCTTTTTCTTTTTTTTCGGTTTCAGTTTGGAATGTTTTATGTAATTTATAAATGTCATCACTAAGAGCTGAGATAGCTTTTTCTGTTTTTCCAGTTTTGTACCAAAGAATAAATTGGCATACGAAGATAAAAATGTATTGAATATTTTCCAAAAGAAAACTTTTGATTACTTCTAAGTTGACATGACGAAAGTTATCGAAGATTAATGCTGAAATTATGAATAGCACGAGTAAAAGAACATTGTGTATGTTAAAGATAGGAAACATTTTATTTGTAATTGTGTAAATTTGTAGTAAATATGATTGTATTTGATGACTTTATGAATAATCTCAAGTGAGCGCCAGAAGCTACCTTTTTATAAGCTACAAAACTCATTACAAAGTAAGATACCGGATTTCGTCAAAAATTCATTTAATCTATTAAAGGATAGATTATATCATTATTAAATGGTAGAATTTTCTTTAAAACCAACATCTAAAACAGTGCAACCAGAGATTTCCTTTTATAGAGTTAATGGATTTTTTCTAGATTACACCTCAGAAAGATGTACAGTACTTTCGTACTACCGTTTACAACTGTCAAAGAAAAACCTGTAAGTACTGATTTGTATTTCACTGCGCCGAACTTTTATAAATTTAACATTACGTAATTTAATCATTTTCAATTAGTATTCTTGTATACAAAATGCTTTCAAAACGATTAAAATGATTAGAATGCTTTGTATAATCTGTTTCAATTGCGTAATAAATACATGACAGGATGATACTTGAGTTGTGAAATAATGAAATCCGTTATATGTAATAAAAAACAAGGATTCAATCTACAAACCGGATTTCACCATTCCGCAACTCAGGTTTCATCCTCTTCTATAAATATTACAAGATTAAGTTCGATATAATTATGCACGTATGCCCGAAATGTGTGACAGGTTGATCAAAATTCACCGGCACTCGGAAAATGTGTACCAAGATTGTGCCGTAGTCAAATTATTAAAATTCGTTAATGTCAGGGTTGGGGTCAGGGTCATGGTCAGGAGTTAGAGGAGAGTATTTTACATAGTAAAACTGTTCATCGAAAACTTTTGTTAGAACACAAAATGTGGTTTCTTATGCGATTTTTGAGTTGAGTAATTTTTGTTTGTTTTGAGTCTTCTTGATCGTGTTACGTTACACCTAATTTTGAAATTAATTCGTAGTTTAGGAGATCTGCACTGCAAACCTGGTACAAATTTTTTGAGTGCATTGCCCATGAAAACAAAATTCTGCTCACTGTTTTGGTATAAGCTTCGTCTAAATCCCCTTACTAACATTAAAATATATTTAATATAGGCCAATTAGCATAACCTTCCACACATTTCGGTCTTGTGATAGTAGTACTTGAAGTAAAGCGTTAATTGAGTATAATAAAAAAAAGTGAACAATGCTAAACAGATCGGTTTGATCGGACTTTACACAAGATGATCGTTGATCAACCTTGATCAATTGCACTGATCTCGTTGGTCAAAATAAAAACAAGGAATTCTAAATTTAGAATTTTTTACACAACGAAATAAAGGCTATTACCGATCCAATCAGAATGATTTGTTCTTTAATTGCACGTTATTATTATTAAATGCTGTCAGCCCCTATAATAGAACATCTTACTGGTTAATTCTGTTTTCTCACAAAAAAAATTAAACCGAAAATAATTATGCCTTTTATTTTGCACATTGAGTACAGTATAGCGTGGTCTAAAAGACCTCCTTATTATACCCCTCACAATTTTGGAGGCCTAGACTGAATGTATTGTACCTGGGCATTATGGACAGTTTATCGAAAATGATAGCTCTTGTAAAAAACTCCTCTCGCTCCCACTTATATGTTATGATATAGATTTTTTGTAAATATATAAGCTTGTTAAATTTGTAATTGTATTTTTAAAATTTTGCTGAATTTAAAGGACCATTTTGTACTCATACACTAACCACAGTACATATCCTTCCGACTATAGTATCCATATATACATTGTCACAGGTAAAACCATAGCATCAGCATCCTCGCAAAACGATCGTCATAGTGGCCCTAAACAGAATCGGTAATGCGAACGACGATCCCTCTGAAACATTATGCAGACAAGCCCCCAATCGAAAAAATACGATCTTAGGTCATGCCCAACATGAAGACTCACCATCTAACCAAATAAGGGAAAGGTCAATTGGGCTAACCCGTCTGTTGAGGTGGAGATTCGACGATGGAAGAATGGCGCAAGTCTTTTGTTCTTCCCCCTTGAAAATGCTAAAGGTACGAAGGCTGTAGAGAGGGAGTGCTAAAACTAAGTAGAAAGGGAAAAACGGCTTGTAATTAGTACATGCAATAGTAAATTGATTCAAAAGGCCGGCATTCTTTATCTTTCATGTATTTTCATATAAAAAGAGGCGGATTTTTCTTGTAAATAGTGTGCAATACACACCCATGTGTAATTCCCGCTCAACATAAATAATTAATAAAATTCCTTAAATTACTGTTTCAAACAAAAGATCAAAACCAATCGAAAAACAAAATGCTCTTTAAAATTTCATTTACTTACCCGTAACGCACTCGATAGTCGCTTTAGCCCGTGCCAAATTGAATTCGCCTCACCTTGACTTTCGCGTAACGTTATGCGACGTCGAAGAATTTTGAGCAACAATCCATCGCATCGCCCTGTTTGTTGGTGTGTGTGTTTTTGGTCATTAAGCCACTGACAACATCTTAAATTGTAAAGTATTTTATTATCTTGCGCCAATATTTGACTTATATTTATTTAAACAAACTAGAGAATAAAAGATACAAAAAAAAACTTATTTTTTATTATTACTGTAATTTCATAAAATAAACCATCTTAGTTATATATCTTGGTCAGAACTAGACAGTAACAAAAAAACTTTAAAATTAATTCCATGAAGATTTTACGAAGAAATCTTAGACTTCTTATTATACTCTAACACGGATAGAACGGGCTGAAAAATTCAACCGTTATAGTAAACATCCGCTATAGTATAACATTGTGATGAATTTATGAAATTAAAGTATTTTGACTCACTACGAAGTGCGTCATTTACTATTTGTTTTTTGATATTTGAGTGTCATCAAAAGAAAACTGCAACCTGGCCTTCAATTATATTTTGTGTACGGTTGATCATCTATCGACAATCTATCATCTGACATTCAATCATATTTTGTGTGATAGATGGTCGATAGATGACCAACTATACACAAAATATAATTGAAAGCCCGGTTGCACTAATTTCTTATTGTAAAATCATATAGACAACGTCTAACTAATGGCGTGATCCGTTGATCAGCAATCCGGACTGTGTAATCCGTATCATCTGTAGACCAACTACTCGAATTACAGTTAACAGTTGTTAACTACTCGAACTACAGTTAACTGTAGTCAACTACTCGAACTATAGATAACTGTATAAACTATAATCAGATATAGTTAATTATTAAAGCTATTGTTAACGATTAAAACTATACAGATAAACTATTAAATCTACACAAATGATTGAATTGATGTCATCCGTTCGATGATATGTAAATAGCAGATTACTCAAACTACGGTGTAAGACATCAAAGTTCGGTATTTTGGCCAAATGAGATCGGATTGCAGAGTTTCACATAATTAATGACTAATCAAGACTAAAGTTTCTGTTTTATATGGATTAATCAGTAAAGCAAAAAAAAAAAGGGACAACCAAAATCTTAAATATGCATTTATATATTTTAATCAGTTTATCATCAAACCTTTAAAAGATTCAATATTGTCAAATCTTAATGAACCAAAAAATGGCTCTGTAATTTTAGTTTTCTTATTCTTCTTTACGTATTTACAGAAATCATTATTTATAACTATGCTATTTATTCTTGTCCGGTTTTAGGTGTCTTGCACTATATGCCTATATGGATTGCCAAATTGTTCGGTCAAATCTGTATGGATACGGATTCGATGTTGTGTAATCTGTATTATACCGATTTGTATAGTTACGCCATTACCTAGTCGATATGCAGATCTCCTGAACTACGAATCAGATTTCAAGATTAGGTGTAACGTAACACACTCAGGAAGACAAACGTTCGTTCTGCCAAAAATTGCTCATAGCTCAAGAATCAGCATAAGAAGCTACCTTTTCTAACAAAAATTTTTCGTCGAACACAATTTTACTATACAAACTATATCCCTCTAGATACTAACTTTGACCCTGACCCTGACCGAATTTTAAGAATTTGGTCTTTGCCGCCAACCTAGTACACATTTTCGATATGCAATCCAAATTATCCGGATCACACCACTACGTACGTCTAATCCATCTTCTCGCGTCATACGTTGCCTATATGATTATACAATAAGAAATGAAGTCTTTGCCTTGAAAATCAAATTATGAGACATAGTAAACTATATGTCTCATAACTTGATTTTCAAGGCAAAGACACAAAATGTCAATAAACAAATAGTAAATGAGTGTGTCAAAATAGTCTAATTTCATAAATTCGCCGTGATGATGACATTTAGTTAATTTAAATTAATTTAAATTGTTCTGAAGAATTACTCCGCTATAATGGGAGATCTTTTAACGGGATACGTTGTAACGAGAGTAGGTGTATGTATTGCATTTTGAAGTTAACAAAACTTTTAAAAATATTTTCATAGGAAAGAACCAAAATTGCTTCGTTATAAAACACTGATAATTATTTCGTTATAAAAAAATCTGATATCTTTACATGATAGTGATATCCTAACTTTAAGAGTCTTTGGCTGCTATTGATATTAAAACATACAAAGATCGCTTTAAGGCTTCTGTTTTTGCGAACCTTATATTTAAAACTGCAATAAGAATATACTCATCTATATTTTTTTATTAATTGACCGCCACAAGATTATCATAAATAAAATGTAAACCGACACGAACCATATAAAATTATATAGCGTAATTTTATCATCATATAAGGGAAATAATACTTCGGATTTTCAATTATATTTTGTATTGGACACAAATTATCTAATTTTATTAAGGATTGTGTCCGACATAAAATATAATTGAAATCTCGAAGTATCATTTTCCCTTGGCGGCACGCATATGATCAAAACGATTGAAAGCACAGATAGAGATTCGAGTTATGCACGTTGTTACGACTTTCCACTTGTGTCCAATTTAGTACAGTGTCGTTAACATTAAAATTTGAACAATTATTATTCGCGAAAGTACAAGCTACTCTTTATTTGTAATACAAAAAAAGCCAAACCCAAATATGTAAAATGGGCAAGAAAAGGTTCTTTATTTAGGGCTTTACTTATTTGTGCCGGTAATACAAACTCCTAAAAAGAAAATAGCCAATCAGTGAATTCAAACTTTGATCGTTCCGGATAAGCCCGACATGAATTCCGAATGCGTGTAAAAGAAGAAAAAGCGAAAAAAACTCAAAAATTAGTGTTTAAACCAGCCTTGGTGTACTAATTAAAAATGTCGGAAACGAAATTTTACATATAATGAACGATAGTCTATCGCTATAGCCTCTAATGTTAACGTTCCAACCCTAAATACGTGTTTTACGCACTTTGTTTATTTATAAAATCAAATTTCCTTTTTTGGATTGTATTACCGGCATAAATAAGTAAATCCCTTTATTTAGTGCCAAAAAGGAATGTCATGCGGTGGTACAATTTTTTCAAATGGGATCTTATTTCTAAAAGCGATCGTTTATACAGTATCGGTATTAGACTCTTATGCAAAGCTTAATAAAATTAGCCCCGGCATCCGACCTACCTACTACGGGTAAGTACGACCCATGATCACGGGGTTAAGTTGATTTATTGCACTTATTGAATTTAAGGCATTTGTTAGATAAATTAAAGTTTTGGCATTTATTTGTAATACTGAGTCTTTAATAAATAAAGGCCATGAAAGTCCTTGGTTAAAAAGTTTTAGTGCTGCTTACAATTATCGTTCCAAATAAAGAATACCAGTTAACCATATAACGCTTACGTTGCTAAATAAATACCTCTTAGTAATACTCCAAACCCAGTTCTATCTCTAAGTGGATAGTGAAAGGTCTTCGTTCACATAATTGTCTTGCACACGTGACTTCGTACACGATTGTTGTCCGGTGAATTCTCGACGAACTGAGGACTTCCGTAGTTGTTGTTTTCCAACTCTCCCAACGTACCGTGGATAGTTGTGGTGATTGTTTGTTTGTTCCAGTTTAAAGTCCAAGTGGAAGGTTCAAGTCGTGGTTTGTGTTGTTCAGTTCCCTATTCAAGTAAATAAGACATACCTACTATCATAATTCTCCACTCGCCAAATATAACCGATTAAGCCGATCGTAGGTTACATCATTAGTTACACGACGTCCCAGATTGTGGAGCGACCGCTCACCGTTTTACAGGCCTCACTATATCCATAATTACATAATTACACATATTATTTAATTTATTACGACATTTTTCGTAACAACGTGTTACAATAGGCACTATGCTGGCATTAATGCTGCCTGTGCCATAGGCACAAAACTGACAGTGCTAGGAACTTTAGTCCATACCTAAGAAAGTGCCCAGCACTTGTGTAATAGTGCCTGGCACTTTGGGTCTGACTACATGTCTAGTACTTTTATGAAATCAGGCACAAAGTAACTATCACTTAGACCGTCCGGTTTAGCTTACAAATTCGTACGCCAAAATATTCTACAAAATTCTATTTCAATAGGTTGTGTTGAATCTTTAAGACCCAAACCATACGGCAAACTTCACAGTTACAGCATGGGAGCACTCTGTGACCTGAACAGGAGTACAAATTCACACGATGGCTGAAAAATATACCATTTTATCGTTAAAGAAATTTCATGAAATGGGAATTGCGATAACCAACATGCAGTACACTTTTATTTTAACTTAGAAAATAGTGGTACAGTTTAATAAAATTTAGAGTTGATGGATTTTAGCGTACAAATTTGTACGCTAGACGGTTTAAGGGATAGATAGGCAAAGGCATTTTTAAGCCAAACAAAGAAAATGCCTGTGCCCATGTTCGTGCCTGTACCTTAAAAGTAAAATAACGGCAATTTTGCATAATTTTATGTAATTTTGAGGTAAATCAATTTTGAAGACGACATTTAGTTCCTGTGATCAAATTTTCGGCGATTTAGGTAGTACATTCAATTCAAATTTTGATTTTCTGAAACTTAAGTAACTCAACCCTAGCTACGGGCACAAAACTCATGTGATAAATCCGGCCACTGTTGTGTATATAAGCCCTAATCTCAATCCCAGCGCTAATTCTAGCATTGTGGTGCATCCGAAGTGTTTTATAATAATAGCGACAATAGGAATATTTTTCTCTTTACCTCTTGTTTTCAACCATTTCAACCATGAAACATAAGAAAAAAGATGAACGTAAAATGTTTGAATTTTATTTAAAGTTAGCTGCCGATGATTTATTTGAATTAGGAAACCATTATCTAAATGGGGATAAAGTAAAAAAAGATTCAAGTAAAGCTTTTGAAACATATCTACAATCAGCAGAACTGGGTAGTGCTGATGGATCAAATTGTGTTGGAGAATGTTACCTAAATGGAATTGGAACTTATAAAGATGAGCATAAAGCTTTAGAATATTATAAAAAAGCTATTGATTTAGGTAATATTCATGTAATAAACAATATCGGTGATTATTATCGAAAAGGAATTGGATTTCATAAAAATGAACATAAAGCTTTCGAATATTATAAAAAAGCCGCTGATATGGGTAATTCTGATGGAATACGTAACATTGGATGCTGTTATGCAGAAGGGATAGGTGTAAATGAAAACATGAAAGAAGCTGTTAACTATTTTAATAAATACGCTAAACTTGATGGAAATTTATATTATGATGGTTATGATAAAGGTTTCAATCCTCGATTTAGAAAAATTAGACAGTACAGACGTTGTTACCGTTGTTTTGAAGAAAAAACAAAAATAGTAGGTGACGGTGCATTTAATGTTGGTCATTGTTTTCAAGATGGAATCGGTGTTAAGAAAGATGAAAATAAAGCGTTCGAATGGTATTTAAAAGCATCCGACTTGGAGCATGTGTTAGGAATAAATAATGTTGGTTACTGTTATCAATTAGGAATTGGAACAGAAACTAATGAAAAGAAAGCTTTCGAGTACTATTTGCAATCTGCTGAGATGGGTCATACCGAAGGAATGAATGAAGTTGCTTATTGTTATCGGAACGGAACGGGAGTAGAAAGGGATTTGCAGAAGGCTGATCATTGGTTTAAGATGTTTGCATTTAAATATTTGATCTTTTTTGTTTAAATATATTTTTTATTGTTTAAAATATATTTTTTATTAATACTATTTATTGTTTAATAGGGAAAGAAATAATCTTTCACAAACGATAAAAACATATAAAACCTCTTATGAATGGGATATTTTGGAAGATGAAAGCGAAACTGATCTTTGTCCTAATATTTCCCTAAATAAAATACTAAATGACGAGAGATATTTACTGTCGTGGATACCATATAATAAGTTTGAAGACGTTGAAATGATCGGAGAAGGAGGATACGCAACTGTTTATAGAGCTAAATTAAAAATCTTACACGAAAATTACATTACCAAAATATCTGTTGCGTTAAAATCAATCTTTAGTTCAAACGAATGTCAACAAGAATTTATCAATGAGGTGATTTGTTTAATATCTTTTTCTCTGTCTGGTTTTAAATTTTATGTTTCGTTAAATTGTTTTTATCGATTTATTTGAAGTTAAAAGCATACTGTGAAATCGGAGCCACAAATCCGTCTTTTTTGAAATGCTACGGTGTATCAAGAGAAAAAAATACCGGAAATTATCTTCTTATATTGAAATACGCAAATATAGGTTCTTTATGTAGTAACTTTGATAACGTATCAAAAATGGAATGGAAAAAAAAATTAAATCTTTTACGATGCATTGTTTCTGATCTTGATGCGATTCATTCACACGATATGATTCATCGAGATTTGCATAGTGGTAACATCTTGCAAGATAATTTGCATAATGCGTATATCGCAGACTTAGGTCTATCTACGTCGTGTGCCGTTCTACAACCAGGAGAAATTAAAGGTATCTTACCTTACATTGCTCCTGAAGTCTTGCAAGGAAAACCGTTCGAGAAAACTGCTGACATTTACAGTCTTGGAGTAATCATGGCTGAAATGACAACTGGACGAAGAGCATTTGATGGTTACAAATTTGATGCTGGGTTAGGATTAAAAATCTGTATGGGAATGCGGCCTGAATTTGCACTCGGCACTCCTAGTTGCTATATCAAATTAGCTAATCAATGTATGGATCCAAATCCACAAAAACGACCTTCTATTATAGATATTAAAACTAATTTTGATGAATGGTTTAATATGATTAATTATAAAGAAAACGAAATTACAAAAAGCTTTTTGGATGCTGATAAAATCATCAAGAATTTACCAATTGGAGAAAAAAAATCGCTAGGAAAAAATTTTTTCCATATTATTGAACAAATACACTCAAATAATGAATACACAAGCAAATCTATTAACACGCAAGAGATCACTGAGAAGTTATCGAAAATTGCCGTTAGTAAACCCATCGATACTGAAGAGATCCCAATATGAACTATCGATATTTTTCCTTATTGGTGCAAGAATTTTTTTACGCAAAATTTATTCGCAAGATTATATACTGTGAGCCCCGAAATCGGTCACGGTCTCACGTAACCGATCGTCGAAATTAGGTCCCGTCGCCTACCCGAGTAACTGGTCACATGAAAAGTAAGAGAAATCTTACTTTTCTTACTTTTATTACTTTGGTTACTTCGGGTAGAACGGCGGTATATGGGGCATTCGGTTTTTGGTTATTATGGTTGTGAAAGGGATTTTAGGAATGAAATATTGTAAGTAGATAATGTAGAGGAAATAATCCTCGAATGTAAATAAAAGTTTTATTATAAATAAAGGGCTTTCCGCCCAGGGGGAAAGTAATAGCGATACCCCTAAGTAAATACATTTGCGCATAATAAACTTAAGTATCGGGCTCATATTAAAAGTGGAACTATAACCCAACACAACTGAAAACTATCGTTAAAAACCCATCGTTGTCCCTATCGTTTGTCCATTTGACACCCACTAAACCGCATTTTGTTCGTTCGCCGTAAGTCACGTGACCAAGCCGTTAACGCAAGAGAAAGACTCCAACTCCGATTCGACATATCGTAACCCCAAGTTAAGGAAGTAGATAGAAGAGAAGAGAAGGCAAGGGTTAAAAGAAGAATAGGTTGAAGGAAGGACTTAAAAGAGAAGATTAGTACTTACCTACGGATAAACCACCAAGCCAAATCTAACACACCTATTTCGACTTAGCCGCCGTAGGTTACGCGAGGATTGGAAGGAATTAGCGACAGACTCGCCGAATTACCGAATTACAGTATAAATTTCCATGTATATCCTGTAATTTTTATATAAGCAGCTTTTAAGTGCGTCATAATACCCCACTTCACCTTATGTGCGTACTTATGTGTGTATGTTGTGCCTCAGATTAACGCTTGCGTCAAATGTTAGTTAGAGGATTATGCTAAGTTTAGGTTTATATGTTAATTCTTACCAAATGATCATTGTGCAGCCGACTCCTTATAAGACCCTAGTGTCACCAACTCGCTAAAAAAAATTTGGCACTAACTTAGGGTTAGAGTTTGCTATTAAGTTATAAAGAGCTTTTTAAATACCAACATCACACAAAGAAACCTTTTTATTAGTGCGCAGAAAGCAGTCTCATAGGTAGAATGTTGAGTTGTGAGCGATTTTTGGGTTCATTTTGATTTTTCGCCTGATCCTGAAATCTGATTGGCTGGAGAAATAGTAGCGAAATTTTTTAGGGTGGTGATGCTAGGGTTGCAAATGTTAATCTGAGGCACAACATGTATAAAGCTTTTGTAGATTCATAATTGTGTAATTGTTTTAATTCAGATTAAACAGTACGTGATATGTAAACAAACCAGGAATCGATCTTCGATCAACGTGCCAAAGCAATCGAATAATCGAGTATTTGCGGTATTCACAAAATTTTTTTTAGTCATTTCAACCGTTTCGAAAATAGAGATAAAATAAGATTAATTGTTATTTCTTTGAAAATTGAAATTAATTGTCATGCAATGTATTCATTATTGGGCAATTGGACTAATTTTGCTCGACTGGACTTATAAACTGCAATATTGAACTCAAATTACTGGTCTTATAAAGGTGTCCAACACTGAACGAATCACTACCTCCTGATCGGTGTAAGATTGGGAGCAACGTGAAATTGAAGCGATTATGAAAAAATCGCTTCTAGCTAGAACTTTGTCTATGAAACTGTCTTTTCGTTCAAATAAATTTAATTGTTGCCTTACCCGATACAATTTATTTTCTAAAAGGACTGTTTTTAATTTAATTAGGTGGCGATGAATTGCACTTGCGATAAATTATACCCGTTTCTATTTGTTTTTATTTTTATATCACTAAAAAATATATACAATTAAAATTTTGCGGAAATTTTATAAAAAATTTTAAAGAATATATGAGTGCTGCAGAGCGAAAACCTTTAACCGGTCATAATGATTTACTATGGTCAGCTGCAGGTTTTTGCTCTGCGGCACTCATATAATATTACAGGAAGACCTGGGTCGGAGAATCGTGGTCAGCTTCGCCGGAGTTGCTTGTATGATCGCACAAATTTACTAACCCATTCATTAAAAATATGGGGGGTTTTTTTTCTTAAATAATAGTAGATGTAATGCGAATAAATAAGTTACACGACTTCTATATGACATTGAACCAGATATGGCATCATTAAGATTATACGTGCAAATAATTTTTTAAATTTTCGATTTTTCGTATTTGTCTTACTATATAGCATGAGTTATTTTGATGCCACGATCTAGAGTTAGTGGAAATATCAAATTAATTTCATTAGCAAGCCACCAAATATTTGTCAAAGAGAAGCAAAGCCTCAAAGATAGATAATATCATAAATTCATAATATATATACCAAATAAGTTTATGCCTCGGGCAAGGCTTGGATATGCGTGATAATAAAAGAAACCATTCCCCTATAATAATGTTTGAAGCCAATTCCAAGCCTACAAACAACCATACCTGGTGCTTAGCCATCCGATCATATAGGCGCATTTCCAAATAGAAGATATTTTTTTCAAACGAAAATAATAAAAAATGATCGTCTTGATCACATTTATATTGATATTTACAGACTACGCGTATACCTAGTAAACCATTATGATTTCTGTTACAGCTAAGTTCTTTATTGCAACAATTTTAATAGTTCCATTATTGTTATTATCGTTTGTATGTCCTGTCCTGGGTATTTTTTTTTCTTTCTTTCAAAAAAAATTTTTTCCTTTTTTTTAAAAAAAAATTTGTCACTTTTAAATGAATGCTAATCATTGCTTTTTTTTCACATATCAACGAATGTTTTGAATTTGTGATAAAGAAATCGTCAAATACATAAATTTAAGTCAATATCCAAACCGATCAGGTTATTTCGACATGATTGCTGAATGGAGGTAGGTTATACGATCCGTATAAATTGTATTTTCGAAGGTATTTATGTCAAGAAGTATGTTTTTTGATTAATAATCATAAATAATCTAAATAGCTATCTGATAATTGCAACAACAGTGCCATGTATGTATGCTCTTGTTTTTTTTTTAAAAAAAAAAAAATATATGTATGTATACTCAATCTTTATTTACCATTTTAAAAGTAAGTTTCGTAGTGTCAGGTATATATAATCGGTGTGACTTAAAAAAATCACTAGTCATTCACGAAGCATTCACGTAATTATCAATTTAATTTTCATTTATTTTATTATTTCTGATAAATAAAATTGACAAAACTCAATTTATTTTATAAATTTACGCGAAGCATATTAATCATTACCTGGCTTATCATATCAAGTAAAATATGTTTTTTCTATTTCTCAATTTTTTATTATAACCAAACTCGCTTCCTCATTACTTTCATTTTCTTTCATTATATCTTAAAGTAATATACACTTTCTTAACCTTTCAAGAAATGTATCCGGTTCCTGCAAACTGTCCCCCTTCGTATGATTATCCGTCACAGACCTCTTACAATGCTTGTGCATTACGACTTGCCAATTTAATTTGTATGTGGTTATTCGTGCTATTTGGAATTTTATGTTTTTCAGCCAATTTATATGGTATAATGCCAAACGAGAGTGATTTAAACGAGAAGAAGACGGCTAAGATTTTTACAACTTCTTTAAGTGTAGAAGAAATATTTACCGGACGAGAAATTATTGTACCAAAATAAAAAATAGGAAAACATATATAGGTTATTTTTTTTTATACATACAGTATAAACTTTAAAAACTTCTTTATTGGTCAATTACTCAACCCGAAAAATATATCTCAATTCTTTAATGAGATTTCTAACTTTTATAAAAATTTGGTACTACAATTTCACTACATTTTTTCAAACAGTTCACTATCGATAATAAATTACTAAATCACGATCACGAGTTTATTCTAAATTAGAGAATTCACCATAGCGATAGTGTAAATTGTACTCAAATTTTATACAGCAGCACTGACTGTTCTAAGGATTTATCTTTACAGGTTACGAAACTGTAACAAAGTGACAAATATTGTGGCGCACCTGTTTCATTTCGAGAACGTTACACCTTGAAGCATCAGAAACTCTTATTTTCAATAAATACTTGGCCACATGAGAAATTACGTGCTACAAGAAGAATTCACATAAATATCAAGTGACTACGTATATGCATTCGTTCATTCATAATGTTATAATTTTAATGTTTTACAAGTCCAAACCAATATGATATGAAATTTCGTGTGTTCCACCGGGTGTAAGATGAAAGAAATTTTTCACCTGACCTGTATATTAAAGTTACTTTTTTAGTAGTATATGATAATATATGTCATATATGAGTGATGCCAAGAGAAACCTGATTTCGGATTCCGGTATTATTTATTATTTACTAGACTCAGCCCTGATCGTATATATGATACGTAATTAAATTTACTACATGTCGTCGGTCAGGTAAATAATAAATAATAAACTTGAAAGCTAGAAGTCTTGAATCACAGTTCGTATAATCGAATTATCTATATATATTTCTGTGCTGCTCTATGTTGTACATTTTGACTAACCTTTTTGACCTATTGATTTTCCCAATTTTTAGATTAATAAATATCGATATGTCAAAGAAAATACAGTATACGATAATATTAATTTTTTTGTTCAAAAATTGACAAAAAGGATGTCTTAATAAACTTTTGTCATTTTTTTAAAAAATCTCTTAATAAAATTGAGTCATTACCGTGTTTTTTTTGGCAATTTATATTTGTACACTAGTGTATAAAACACAGGTATATAAAACTTAAAAGTTTACTAATAAAACAGTCTTTGCTCTAACAAAAAAAAATTCCGAGTAATTTTAGTACATATAAACTAAGCATCTTAAACCCTAACTTTAATTTTTTTCGTATCACACGAGTTTACAGATCATATTAGCGTGTACATACACTAGTGTATGTTTAGAAGCAAAAATTTTTTTTAAAAACTCCATTTGTATCGAATCTACAGCAGAGACAGTGCCTGATCCAAAGTGAATCCCTCTCACCTGTGATCAATCACAATTTATGTTGGATTCAATTGTGATGGATATAATCCCTCACCAGTTTTAATATACGTGCAACATTAACGGTCTCTGCTGTTTCTTTGAATAAGCAGTCTAAAAAACCTAATAAATCCTATAATTCAGATGTCGATCGAAAAAAAAAGTTTGAAGGGCCAATTTGAGTGTTTAAAATCTGTACGTATGCGGAATCTGCGATGCGCATATTGAAAATTAATTCCACAAGTAAAATTTTCCTTGAATCTGCGGATTTTATTATGTGTCATATATGTCACACATCTATTTTTTGAAATTTAAATACTACGTAGCGCTAGGCACAACACATATATCAACTTAAAGATACATCAGTATATCAAAATATAGCGACAGTAAGTAAGATTTGGTATGAAACCAGAATAGCATCTAGATAACTCCATATTTTAATTATTTTAATTAAAAAACAAACAGGCTATGGATATTAAAAGAAACCTGTTATTTAATAACAAGTTTAATAACTAGTTATATGTATATAAAAAAAGAAGTTAGAAATAATGCACTTGCGCCCATTGTCGACCAATGAAATTATAAGATCTAAGTAGCAAGAACGAAGGAATATCTTATATACTTATAGAGAAGACTCCTGGCGTTAGACTCCTGACGTTAAAAAACCCCGTAAATCACAAGATCCACACGTCCCTGACGTACAGCAATGTGTAACATAAAAAATTTTTTCTCAATCTTGCATATGAACTTTCGTATTTTGATAAAAGAAAGACGTTCCTCGTGAATTTTAGATAATCAGTTCTCACCTTAATATTGGTCTTAATTCTAAATTCAACCTAAAAACATGATCAAAAAAGGATACATCTTAGTGCGCCATGCACAAAATTTAGGCATACTTGTTGCAATATTTTTAATCTTGTACGTACGTACGCACTCCGATAAAAAGATCATTGGTGTGAAGATTGTATTCGATCCGATATCACAAGTTAACATAAATACAAGTATTTCAATATATATTGTAGTTGAATGAAATTCCTTGTTTCGCTTGCATAAGTTAAATCAAGATTCCCGAATAACATACGGACATACGCACCATGTGGAGGCAAATATGTTACAGAAGAACAATTAAAATATAATGTGAGATATGATGCGCCCGTGCGTGTAACTTATCTTTGTCATCTTGTGACATCATTGTGATCAAATGATAAAATATATAAATTTAACCACTAAATTAGTTGACAAACATTTCTCTTTACCATAATGTTGAAAAACTTCATTGTCGTTTGGGCATTTCTTATAGTATTTGCTTACGCAAATGTTATTTATCCAAGAAATGAATTTGAATTTAATGAAGTCTTGATACAATTTTATCCGCCGAAGTCTACTGCTGAAACGATTAAAAATTGCGGAACCGCTGATGACATACTAACTATTACGCGCCTCGAGATAACTCCAGACCCTCCAGAAAAAGGTCATGAACTTAACATTAGTGCCGCTGGATATTTATCTGAAACTGTTGTGCAGGGCAGTTATATTAACTTAACAGTCAAGTTCGGCTTGATTAAGCTTTTAAAGAAGACACTTGACTTGTGTGAACAAGTCGAAAAAGTGAATAAGAAATGTCCATTAGAAGAGGGTGAACAAACTTTAGAGCACACCGTTGAACTGCCAAAGGAAATTCCTCCGGTAATTATTTAAAAAAAAATTATTTTGTTAAAAAGCTATGCATCTAAAATAAATATGAACGATAAATATATATTATTTTGTCTGATTATAGGGAAAATATTTTGTTGATGTCCAAGTTTATACTCCAGAACATAAACGCATTGCTTGTTTGCAGGCTACAGCCTTTTTCAGACCATAATTAAGTCAAAATTTCAATGTTGCATTGCTGTAGGGATGAATTTTTCAATATTTGTGCAAAATAAAATATTCTTATCATCTAGAAAGGTAAATCTGGAAATTGACAAAATTTTGTACATTTTCGTGCGTAAAACTTGTTATGGTTAGATTATTATATTATTTTGATATCATTGTTTCTTTTTGTTGCTTTAATTTGGAGTCATTTGGAGGTATTATGAATTATCAGAGAAAGAATGTGATTATATAAGTACTGGTTGTTTATTATAACGGAAGGCTTATAAGAAATACATTAAATAGCAAATCAAATCGTAATCCATTGTATAATCCAATTTTAAATCTTAAAATATTACTTTTAAAAAAATCAAAATTATAATCCTCTTAAATTGAACAAACGTAAATGCTATACTATCATTAAACCATGATTATCGTTATAGATAAGTTGCATAATAAAGATCGAAAACCAAATCATTCTTGACGAATCGGATAGAGACGGTACCATTAAGAGAAGATTTAATGTAGCGACAACAAATATATTTCGGATATTCCGGATATCCCGGATATTCCGGCGTACGTGCTAAGACAACCTTAGAATTATTAAGCAAGTGATAAATCTACGAATTTTGAACGCAGTAGTCTCCGCCCTCCGAGATAAGAAATGCCTCTTTTATTTGCTATATATATCGATATGACTTTGTACCTCATATTACGTAAACCCAATCATAAGCTAGAATTATCGAGCAAACATAGCGCAAGAGATAGTCATTGTGTCAACTTATTTATGCTATGGTGCGACATTGCAACGTGTCCACGTCATCGAAGGTTGCGTAAGCACCCCTTGATTTGATATATTGATTCCTTAACCTTCTTTATGTCTTTACGGTCCTGACCTGCACGATACCCGCGGTTAACTCCGTGTAAGTTTCCTTTGTCTATATAAACTTCCCACTTATCATTTTGTAAAAAAAAAAAAAAAAAAAAAGAATCGTTTAAAACACTTAAGCTAATTTTCAACAGCTTTTGTAAATTTTTTAATAAAGTCTATATAATAGTAAATTTAAAGAAAAATGTCAGAAGGAAAAGGAAAGCTACCGTATGTACATACTACTTGTGCGAGAAATGTTTGACACTTTCTGTATCAATTTTGCTCACATACTTGCTTTTGATTCTTTATTCTTTCATCCTTTACTGTGCTATTCTTGTTTGATCTTTAATAATAATTGGATATTTTTTGTCAAACTCCGGAATGCATTTTTCATATAAGTGATAACTCTTCCATCCACCCCCCAAATCCTGACCCGAATCATGATCCAGCCACTGCAATACTTCGCAAGAAGCCTGCACCGAACAAACTCATTGTTGAAGATGCAACAAACGATGATAACTCTGTAATGTCTCTTTCTACGGCAACCATGGAGAAGTTACAACTTTTCCGTGGTGATACCGTATTGATCAAAGGAAAAAAGAGACGTGACACCGTATTGATCGTTTTGGCTGATGATAGTTGTGAAGATACAAAAGTAAAAATTAATAGAGGTATGAAAGGTTTCCTCGATTCATCCTCTCTTTTTATGAGTTGTCTTTAGTCCGAAATTTAATCGTGATCTCTGTATAGTCGTACGAAATAATCTTCGAGTACGTCTCGGTGACGTGGTATCGATCAATCCCTGCACCGAAATTAAATACGGAAAACGTGTTCATGTCCTGCCAATCGATGATACGATTGAAGGTGTAACGGGCAATTTATTTGATGTATACCTAAAACCATATTTCTTAGAAGCATATCGACCTGTGAGGAAAGGTGATTTATTCTTGGTTAGAGGTGGTATGAGAGCTGTTGAATTTAAAGTTGTCGAAACAGATCCGCCGGACTATTGTATCGTAAGTCATTGTTCCCATGATTTCTATGTAAATATTCTCTTTCTTTTTTTTTTTTAACAATCAAACTTTCTACTAATATTTAGGTTGCACAAGATACTGAAATATATTGTGAAGGTGATCCGATTAAACGTGAGGATGAAGAAGCCAATCTTAATGATGTCGGTTACGATGATATTGGTGGATGCCGTAAACAAATGGCTCAAATCCGTGAACTTGTTGAACTTCCACTTAGACATCCTCAACTATTCAAATCAATTGGTATCAAACCACCACGTGGTATTCTTATGTACGGTCCCCCGGGTACGGGGAAGACCCTCATAGCCCGTGCTGTGGCTAACGAAACTGGTGCATTTTTCTTCTTGATTAATGGTCCTGAAATTATGTCAAAAATGGCCGGTGAATCTGAAAGTAATTTAAGAAAAGCATTCGAAGAAGCTGAGAAAAACAGTCCGGCTATCATTTTCATTGATGAAATAGATGCTATTGCTCCAAAGCGTGAGAAGGTAATTTTTTTTACCCTCATTTTTTCTCTTAAATTGGTAACTTTCCGTATCTGTTCTTTTCTAAAAAAAAAAAAAAATTTGTTTTAGACTAATGGTGAAGTAGAACGTCGTGTCGTATCTCAACTTCTTACACTTATGGATGGTATGAAGGCACGATCAAATGTTGTCGTAATGGCTGCCACCAATCGCCCAAATAGTATTGACCCTGCTCTTCGAAGATTTGGTCGTTTCGATCGTGAAATCGATATTGGTATTCCAGACCCTACTGGTCGTTTGGAAATTTTACGTATCCATACAAAGAATATGAAATTAGATGAGGATGTAGATTTGGAACAAGTAAGCAATTATATTATATGAATTTATTTATTTTTATTTTATTTTATTATTATTATTATTTCGATGTTCTCATACTAAATTTATAATAATTCCTGAAATAGATTGCATTCGAAACTCATGGTTATGTCGGTTCAGATATAGCATCTCTCTGTTCTGAAGCTGCAATGCAACAAATCCGTGAAAAGATGGATTTAATTGACTTGGAAGATGACACAATTGATGCTGAAGTCTTAGATTCATTAGCCGTCACGATGGATAATTTCAAAGTATTTTATTTTATTTTTTCCCCCTTTTCTCAGTAGTTTATTACAGGTGACTTTTGTTTATAACCCTTATTTTATTTACTAGTATGCTTTGGGTGTGTCCAATCCATCCGCTTTACGAGAAACAGCCGTAGAGGTCCCAACAGTCTCATGGAAAGACATTGGTGGACTCGAAAAAGTCAAACTAGAACTTCAAGAAACTGTGCAATACCCTGTAGAACATCCTGAAAAATTCGTCAAATTTGGTATGTCACCCTCAAAAGGTGTATTATTCTATGGTCCTCCAGGGTGTGGTAAGACATTATTGGCTAAAGCCATTGCCAATGAGTGTCAGGCCAATTTCATTAGTATTAAGGTGAATTTGATTTTTGATTTTTGTTTTAATCGATATTATTTTTTGTGATATGAATATTAAACAAATTTTCCTTTTTTGTTTTAGGGACCCGAGTTATTGACTATGTGGTTTGGTGAATCTGAGGCGAATGTTCGAGATGTCTTTGATAAAGCCCGTGCTGCTGCTCCATGTGTAATGTTCTTTGATGAATTGGATTCGATCGCAAAAGCTCGTGGATCCAATTTGGGTGATGGTGGCGGTGCTGGTGACCGTGTTCTTAATCAAATCCTTACTGAAATGGATGGTATGAACGCTAAAAAGAATGTATTTATTATCGGTGCCACAAATCGCCCAGATCAAATTGATCCGGCTCTGCTTCGTCCTGGTCGTCTTGACCAATTGATTTATATTCCTCTACCTGATGAGTCATCGAGGTTATCAATTTTGAAAGCCACATTACGAAAATCACCTGTATCTGACAAGGTTGAAAAACATTTGAGTTATTTAGCCAAGAAAACCGAAGGGTTCTCTGGTGCTGATTTGACAGAAATTTGTCAACGTGCATGTAAATTGGCGATCAGAGAAAGTATCGAAAAAGAAATAAAACGTGATCGAGAACGAAAAGAGATAACTGGTGAAGAAGCTACTATGGATGAAGATGAGGAAGATCCAGTCCCTGAAATTACAATGTTTGTACTCTTGTTTTTTTTTTTATTAAATGAGATTAAGATAAGTTATTACTTATTATAAACTTATTACTATTATATTTCTATTTTTTTAGTGCTCACTTCGAAGAAGCTATGAAATTTGCTCGTCGTTCAGTTTCTGATAGCGACATTCGCAGATATGAAATATTTGCCCAAAACCTTCAACAATCTCGTGGCTTTGGATTGAACTTTAAATTCCCTGAAGATTCTAGCGAAGGTCCTTCCACGGACGCACAAATTGGTGGCAATGCTATGGATGTTACTAGTACTACATTCGGTCGGGATGTTGATGGTGATGACGATTTGTATGCTTAATTAACGTGTTTATTATCATATAATATAACGATAAGCCGTTTAATAAAATTGTGCACTTGCACAGCGGTGCATCCCTATAATCACATGACCGATTTATGTGATTGTTGTTCGTTATTCGTAGAGATTATGTAAGTCTTATTACGTTTTGCGCAGTAATCTTTCTTCTAAGTTAGAATTATATTTATACTATATTTTCGCGCAACTATTACATTTTTCTTACTATTAGAGGTTATTGCTTCACTTGTACGTAATATTTTTCTTTGCATTAATGAAAGATCTGTATAAAGAGTTGCTTATTCGAGTCACGAGAACTTTCATAGAAATTAATAATAAAACGTTTCTAAATTAAATATATGTTTTCTTTTTTAAAATCTAAATTCCTAATGTATATGGTCTAAAGCACTGCTAACAATAATATACTCATTATATGTATGTTTAAAAGAAAATTTTTATTATAACCACATTACAATACTGTAACAATTACTCTAAGTTCTAATTACTAAATCCCAAATGCTTTAGAGCCCTAACTTGATTATTAAATGATACTTTGTGTAATAACCAGAACGACCAAAAACAATAAAAGTGTGTCAAAATCAGTTACCACTAGTGTTGTTAATTTAACCAGGTAAATGATAATTAACCATTTGAATCAATGAACCGATTATTTAATCAAATTAACTAAGTTGGAATAATTTTAACAATTAGGATAAAAATAAAACTGTATATTTTATTGTTAAATAAGTTAATATCTTTTTTTTTTAATGTTAATGTGAGTACTTGCGATCCAGGATTTTATTGATAGTATATATTGGTTAGTATTTGTTAACATAACAGACACAAGGGCAATTATGAAAAGAGTGTACTAGTCACTCGTACAATTTTAGTCATTGTCTAATTTAAGTAGTTCACCTGAAGTTTCTATACTAGTTGTTATACCTAGGACTTACTTGTAGGACTTCTATTTAACTATTTTGATTTCATATTCACTCTAAACAATGATTCTGATAAATTAGTGAAAATATGTCATGATCATTAAGTCATGTTTAACTTTATACTAAATCTTTTGTATTCTATATTTACAGTTGAACTGGTATTGTTTTGGTTTAAACTAATGCTTGTAATTAGGATTAATCATTAAATTGTTATACTTTTGTAATATTTACTTAAATCCTAATATTCATATTTTTGACATCTTCATTATTTTTTACTAAATGCAGTTAAGAACTGATAGAATTTTTTAAACTTTCAATCTAGATAGCCTAATATAATATATTTTAGTATTTTATTTCTTTGAAAATCTCAGCTGCCTGGTTGATTATGTATTCTTTTATATATTTTGTTATCTAATTTATTCATTTATTCTTATTAAAGATGTTTTATAAATTTTTATTAGTCTAATAACATTGTCAAAATTTTGTATTATCTTTTTATAGGTTTTGTATACTAATTTTATACAAACTGACAGTCAAATTCATACAAACTGACAGTCAAATTCATACAAATAGATTGTCAAATTCATACAAATTGATGTCAAATTCATATATAACAGTTTTAATTAAATTACAATATCTTGTAACCTAGTAATTTAAATTACATAAATTTGATATTATTTGATTCATCTAATTTTGATGAATTAAATAGTAACAAATTTACATAATTTAAGTTATTAGATCATGAGATATTGTGATTTAATTAAAAGTGTTATATATGAATTTAACTGTCAATTTGTACAAATTTGACTATTAGTTTGTATGAATTTGACTGTCAGTTTGTATGAATTTGACTGTTTATTTGTATGAATTTGACTGTTAATTTGTATGAATTTGATTGTCAATTTGTATGAATTTGACTGTCAGTTTGTACAAATTTGACTGTTTATTTGTATAAAATTGGTATGCAAAACCTATATTTGAGATTTTTAAATAGGTTTCTAACTTCTTAGTTTATTATTTTTTGTGTTTAGTAATCTTATCATGAGTTTGCACTAAAGTTTTATGTAACATTGGTTATAATACTTTTTTTATATTTATATAGCATTATATTTTGTATAAATGTTTCAAGTTTTTATTTAAGATAGTGCAACTAAAGGTTATAGATATTTCAATTCAACTGATCAACAGAGTCAGTTATTATAATACAGATATAATTTCTAAAATTAGTTATTTGTAAAATTTAAATTCTAGACCTACTCTTGAATATTAACAATCTAATTATTTCACTAAATTAATACATTTCTGTTAATATCAATTTATTTATATCTAATTATTAAAATATATAGATATATCTTTAAATGTTTTATTTTGTAATAATGTAAAATTAAATATAGGAAAAAAAATATCAATTTATTCTAAATTTTATAATTTCAAATAAAAAAATAAATTTAACACATTGTTTTATAATTTGCTAATTATGTATACATATTCTAATAAAGAAGAATCTAAATTAAAATTTGTTAATAAAAAAAATACATATAAAAATTATTTGTATAATTGTAAAAATTTTTTAGAATGAAGTTATTTTAAAAAAATATAAAAAAATATTAAATTTAATTAACAAATTTGTACAACTTTTAGATTATGAAGATGATAAAGAAAATTTATGTTTTTTATTTCAAAGTCAAATTTCTTTGCTTTTAAAAATTTTAAAAAAACAAAAATTAAATAATTTAACAATATAGTCAATATATATATATAATTAGAAAATTTTAACTAGTTAATTCTTTATGTTATAATATCTACTAAAGTTGCTTTTAGATAGATAAATAATATTTATATAAAGAAGATATTTGCAATTGCAAATCTATTTATAAAATTATCTAATCATATTAATTTAACAAAAAAAATTTAAATAATAAAAAAACATCTGTTTATAATTATCTTATATTTGTATTATAAATTAATTTTTTTTTTTTAGTATTAAGATAACCTCTTTGATCTTTTGATTTTTTATTAATACTTATATTAGATATATATTTATACAAACAGATTTATATTAAACTATTAGCTGAGTATACAACTAACTACATGTGTAACTTTTCTATATTACTTATTTAAAAAGTCTGCTCAAAAGTTCACTACTAATTGTTATATCTAACATCTTTGTTTAAGTATTTCATTTAATTCTCTAATCTGATACTGATATTAATTTCATTAGATCACTTGACTTAGATCTTTTTGCCTCAACCTTAGAACAATTTTATCCTTAAGGTAACCTATCAGAGCAAGTTATATATTTTTTATCTACTGCTAATCTGGATTTCTGCTATGGCTAAGACTAACATTTGTGGTCAGAGTTATCTGTTAAACTACTGTTATCTTTGTAAAGTTTACCAAACCCTAGTACTTATTTTTCTAATATCTTTTTTATTATCACTTACTAGTTACAACTCAGAACTAACAGATTTTCCAAATTTCCAATTCAGATAACCTAGTATAATATACTTATATATTCTTTTTTTCTAATAATTCTGGCAGCCTAGTTGGTTATATGCTTCTCTACACATCTTGTCATCTGGTTCATCTGACAATTCCTATAAAGATGTTTTATAGGCTTCTATCAGTCTGATAGCACCATCAAATGTTTGTGCTATCTCTTTACTTAAGATTGTTAAATGGGCTTCCATCTTCTCAGTTTCTTAGTTTTCTATACCCAGTAGTCTTATTATAGGTTTGCACCAAAGCCTTATGTGATATCAGTTTTTACATTCCTTTATGTATATATAATGTTATACTTCACATAAATGTTCTAAGCTCCCAAAATTAGGTAGGTTCTAATTTAATGTAGCTAAGATTACAGATGCATAAACTCAACTGATTGACAAGAGACAGTTACTATAACACAAATATAATTTTCAAAATTTGTCATCTATAGAAATTGAACCTTAGACTTGCCACTTGGGAGTTAACAATCTATCTACTTCATTAGGTCACTATACCTTTTGTATTATAAATTAATAAATAAAGTATAATATTAGTATTTGATAGTTAAAAAATATTATAAAACAAAATATAGATAATACTAATTATAATTTTAATAAAATTGTTATTATATAAACAATAATAATTATTTTTTTTTAATTTAAGCAGTTATGCTAGTACTTTATTAGAATTCTTAAAACTATACAAATTACAGAGAATTTTTTTTAATATTAAGTTTAGTATTATTTGGCCATCTTATTAATATCTAAGTGTAATTTGCTGCACTACTTCAAACAGAGATAAACTGCTTGTCTGACTGCTATTTTATAATAGAATATCACTAATTTGATAACATTTTCTTATAGAAAAGCAAAAAAACAAAAAAAGATTTTATATATAAAAAAAACAAAAATATAAGGATAAATAATAAAAATACAAAACAAAAAATAAAAAAAAAAAATAAAATAAATAAAAAATAAAAACATGAAACTTGTAATTTACAAAAAATTAGATAATTATGATTTTAAATCTGTATTAAACATAAAACTTGCAATTTACAGATATTAATAATCACAATTATAAGCCTAAGTTAGGTTTTTAAAAATTATCAACTATACTAAATAAAAATTACTTTACTATTTTTCTATTTATTTAACAAAAAACCAAAAAGAGAAAAAAACTTTAACTTTATCATAAAGAATTAGCATATAGTATTGGTTAGTTTAAAGGCAATATTTAACAGATTTTCAGCAGCTTAAAGTATGTATATAGTCATGTTTGTATTACTGTATTATTTTGATTCATGTTATTAACAATTCCATTTAGAAAATAAATACTACTAACTGTTTTAGTAATTTTATATATCAATATTTAAAAAAGGATAAACTGAATCATCAACTTTTATAAAAATTTTTTTGAAAAAAAGTAGAAGTGCTAAATGAACAACTTATTGCTTCTTTGAGTTCTTAACTCTTGTAAATATTTTTTGTAGATTTTACAGTTGTATAGAACTAATATATTCAACTTGTTGTTTATTTTATAAAAAATTTTGGCTTTTACTAAATTTCTTTTATAGTTTTAAAG